TGAAGGCAGCGGAAAAAGGATTCTCAGTACTGATAACTTGGCTTTCACAGGGCACTTCTAGGAGGAAAATTTCAAGCTTGGAAAATTTCCCAATTTTAGGGATGCTAGATTCACAATGGTTTTTCATGCTTCTTCCCAATCGAACAAAACAAAGGGTGCATCGATTTTCTCTTATAAAAAGGTAACATTTTGTGTAAAGGAAGTGCATAGCGACCCAGAAGGGAGATTTTTGTTACTCAAGGGACTTTCTGATCAGATTCTGTTAACTATTGCGGGTGTCCATTTTCCGAACAGTGGTCAGACAGGTTTCATGGCAAAAAGGTATTTCCGCTCTTTCAAAGTTTCAATGTCAGACATCGGCTCTAACTATGGGGATGTGTGTAATTCACTCACCCCATAGTTCTACTTTAAGGAATCATCTCATTAACGCAGCTAGAAGTGTAGTGCCAAGACTCTGAAGATCTGCTTATACTGCCACAGTGTGGGAATTGATTAGGCAGCAGGTGAACTTTGTCCAGGAGATTGTCCACACCATACAGGATAGGATAAGACCGGTTCCATACCACTTGGTTCCAGTGGTCTGCATTTAAAGAAAAAGTCCTTCTTATACAGTATTCCTGACCAGATGTAGGAGCAGGCTTGCATATTTTCATTGTTTGATGGTGGATGGGGGGGGTTTAGGTGGGTTTGTATGGACTCTTCTCTATTTAGGCTGGGTTCACACCTAGGCGTATCGAATATGCGCGTTTGTCGCGCGCTTCGTGATGCACATTTTTACAGCGATTCGCTGTAAAAAACGCATGACAAACACGCGTTTCCGAGGGCTACCTGGCTGTATCCCAATGGAAACACACGACAAAAACGCCCCAAAGAAGCTCCTGTACTTCTTTGGGCGTAAGACGTTTTGTAGCACGTTCATACGGCCTGTAATATGCCCAGGTGTGAACCATACCCATAGGAAATGATGGGATTTCGGTGTTTGAGCGTTTTGCAGAGCGTTCGAACGCGCTACAAAATGCCCAGGTGTGAACTGGGTCTTATGATTTCTCCCTTCCTTGATTCATCTCTTTTCCCGCTCTCCAGGAGTCGAGTGGGGATTTGATTATAGATATATACCGTTTCCCCGAAAATAAGACCTACCCCGAAAAGAAGACCTAGTTGTGACCTTTCCCAGGGCCGGTGGTGGCATAAAGGGGAACTTGAAGAGCCGCAGGAGAGGATCAGTGGTGCCAACGAAGCCAGCGCTAGAGTAAGCGAGGCAGCAGTGGAGCAGAGCCGCAGAAGCCAATGCTTCCTCTATAGCGCTGGCTCTTGTCACCAAATTCACTCCGCCTGTGAGGAATCGATAGTGAAAGCGTGCTTCGCTCATTCTGGCCAGCGATTGGTTATCAAATTGCTCTTGGAAAGGTACGGCAACCATGATTTCCCTGATCACCCTATTCTTAACTTTGCCACTCACTCCTGTCTTGTTAGTCTATCGGTATTATGGTATGGTAAGACCTACCCCAAAAATAAGGCCTAGTGTGTTTTTTTAAACCAAAAAAAACATAAGACAGTGTCTTATTTTCGGGGAAACACGGTATATATTTTTCTTCTTCCCAGCATTTCTATTTTTAGACTGTGTGTTAATTTGTTTAATTTTTACAAAATGTTCCATTCCACATGTTATGGATGTCGAGGTGGTTTTCACATATAATACTTTGTATCATGTTGTTTATAATGTCATGCTACTGTGTTATCCATGGATTGTATGTGTTGTTGCAGTTTACTAAAACTTAATACGAGAGAGAAAGAAGGCAAAATACATTCAACGTCTTTAATAGAAGTAACTGCGAGCCCCTGAACATATCACTTTTCCACATAGCCCCATGCAAGAGAATGCAGTTGTTGCATCGTTCAACTAGTTTATTTATTCCTGCAGAGACGCTTTCCAGGTGTGCACTGCCTCCTTTACTTCATCGTCTGAGGTGAAACTGAAACTGCAGAGCGCCTTTTTGCTCTCCAGGTCATAGTGGTGCACTTGTGTCTCGCCGCCGGTGGCAATCCTCTCCAGAATACTCCGATCTGATCTATATCGTCTCAAGAACTAATTTGCAACCTCCACATGCTGTTACTTGTGCGGAGCAGTAAACTGTTTGGGAACCCATCATGCACAGACGTTTCTGTATCCAAAAGTCATCATGCACTATGGAAAATGTGGATCCATAGCCAAAATGCCCAAAGAAAGCACGCTATGGCACATTGCCCTTCGATGATGAAATCTCGCAGCAGAGCAGGCATGTTTCTGTCCACGGGACTACCACTCTACTAAAGTCCAAGAGCTGTACCGCGCATGGTTTAACTATCCAACAGACTATGAAAATATACTGCATTCCGAAAGCTTCTCTTTGTTCTGGTTACCGCATAATTTATAAATTGCCTTCACATCTTGATTCTCCCTTGTAAAAACAGTTTGTTCAAAAAATAAACTAAAGGATATACAAAGACAAGTTACCGCATAAGCACCAACTAGCAAATGATCACATTACACTAATATATTATCCATTTCAAACGTATAAAGCTGATCAAAATGACAAGAAAGTTAGAAGCCAAATAACTGCATAAAAATTCTGATTAAAGTCTGATGAAAACTTCAGCATGAACAAGCATCCAATGCATCCAGAAGCATATTATTAAAGAAGAGTCTTAAAAAGGGAGATTACATCATCTATGCCCAGATGTTCCCGATTAGAAAACACACTGCAAAGGCACCTTAAAAGGCTTCTCACACATTCATCTTTAAAACCTTTAAGACATTACCCCACCCTTACAGTTCCAAACTATTTTCAATGCATACGACTGGTTTATAGTTAAATATGCTTTCAAGAATGCCAAAGTTATTGTCAGTCTTATTTTTTTATTTAGAGCTAACAAAGCTTGTAATTCAGTTATGGATGAAAATTGTTTGGGGACTCCAGTGGAAATATCAGCTCAGGGAGGAGAGTTGCCTCCTCTGCACTTTACACTCTACAGTCTCACACCTCTAGCTAAAAATGCAGCAGGAAGAATGAGACCACCTTGCAATGGTTGCAGAAAATGGGAAGATCTTGGTAGCACAATTGCCAAAGGTTTCCTCATCAGTGTTCCAGTGGATTAGATAAACAGCAAAAGCACAAAACTGACATATATACTTTTAGTGTACTAACATGTTAAACCACATCTATAATTTCAGCAGCAGTCTGAAAAATAAGTGCTACTTGAAGGGGTCATAAAGCTATGCCATTAGCGGTGCCTATTTATAAAGCTGATCTGAGCAATATCTAAAATGAAAATAAGACGATGCTTTCTTTTTTTTGCTAAAGACTTGGCTGATAAGTATGCCACACTATACAAAAAACAGCCCATTCGAAATGGTGGATAGTGAAGGAATCTCTGCCAAAGCAGGATTTCTCCAGTTTTGCTTCCCAGCATCTCCTTTTCACCACTGTTGACTGTTAAACCCCATTTCAACTTATAAACGAAGAGCAAAATGGTGAAATAGAGCAAAATGGTGAAATAGAGCAAAAAAAAAAAATTCTGCCTTACCTTATGAACAGAACCCAATGAAAGTGATTTCATAAGCAATATGTTATCTATTACATTCTAAATATACCTTGGTTGACACTCAGAACTATCAAGTGTAATAATTACATTACCTGGAACCACAATTTTACAAAATCATGTTTTTTTCTGAAACTTATTTACCCGATTCACACAAATTAAAAAAGATCCATTGACCTATTTTTAACCAAGTGTCTAAAGTACTCTATAACAGCCATTAACAACCTGGGTTCCTCAAAAGGTTCCTAGGGGTTCCTTGAATTGTGTCTGATTGACCTCCCATTTAAAAAGGTGCCTGCATAGTTCCAGGGCAAATGCCACTTGAGACAGCAGCACGACACCAATGATGTTTTCAGGTCTAGGTAAAGGTGGCATTCTGACCACCATTGTAAGGAGAGCAGTTTGCCTACTGACTCCTAAAAAATTGGCTTTAGCATGGGTTCCCCTAGAACTGATTTCAAGGGTTCCTTGTGAAGTAAAAAGGTTGAGGAAGGCTGCCCTATAGAACGTAAAGTGCTACAGGGAATGTACCAGAGAGAGTATATGCAGCTTAAAATAGTTAGGGTAAAGGGTGAAAAAAAATGAATCTCATTCATAAGAATGATGTATAGCAATGTATTCATGCCCTGCAAACGAGAAGAGCCACATTTCAATATTTTGATGTGCCCTCCAATAGGATTACATCTGGCAAGCAGTGACTGTGCTCCTGTGACTCAGCTATGAACCATCTACTGCTGGATTTGTGTAGCTGAAGTATTGCTATTACATGTGATACATTTTCTCTTATCAAAACTAAACAATGAAATGCGGAGTATTTTTCTACAAAACAATAACATACACATGTCTGACATACATTCTAGCACTTTCCTTATGTGGGCAGATGTTCATGCAGCATAGGTTATTCAGTTATCCAAACAAATACATACTCTATAAAGTGTACAATAGTCTGTCTTTTCATTGCCTATTTTTACAGTGCAAGAAAAAAAAAAAAAAGATAAAAATCACTAAGACATAACCTGCATTTCTAATATACAGTTACAATGTATATTCATACCCAACAACCTAGGGTTATTAAAATCACTTGTTTAAGTGAACATTAAATCACCTGCAAATTACACGCACAGCTGGTAAGAAAGCAGTGCAATATTTTAAAGTTACATTATATGCAGAGACATCTCTTATAGTTAACAGTGGAAAAACATGTAAGGACATCAGTAGAGGGATTAAACTTTACTGCAACATTTGAACAGTTTCTATTTAAAATTCTAGTGTCATACAAAGGAATGAGTCGAGGAGGTATAAAACAGTAATGTAAGCTATAGCATATAATTGCCTCTAATTATGTTGCTGCATTTACAAGAAAATAATGATCAGCCAGTAACCAGCAATTCCTGTACTGAGCATCAGAGCTAAAGACTTACCACCATGAAGTAGTTGCTTCAGGTGTCACAAGCAGTAAGATGACAGGAACAAGACGACAGACGTCCGGGAACAAGGTGTTCATATTAAAGAAAAACCTTCACAGCATATCAATGTTATCACAGAAAATCCCATGAGAAAAAAAAAAAAAAAAAGACTGCTATGTTAGCATTGAAAAACAACCAAAAGACTTAATAATATTCTGTGCATCTGAAGCCTACAATGCTTCTTGAAAGTCTGATCAGCTAATGTGATATTAAATTAAAAACTACGGGCAAAAAGGACTTGGAACATTCTCAAATGACTTCAGCTCTGTCTCAGAATCAAATGGTTAGCGGGAAAGAAAATGAGAGGTAAGCTTATTTCATCTCTCCTATGCAGTGGAAGGACTGTTCTGGAGCTGATGGACGTTGCATGCAGAATGGGTGGGTTTATAACACTGATGGATGGAATGATGTCAAAAGACAAGATAGGGAAGGGAGGGCTGAGAGGTACACCTTTGATTGACAATTAAACCCCGAGGTCACTGCTAAGCAACATGAAACCCAAACAGTATCCGATCAAATGTAATGTATGAAAATACTATATTAATATGATCCATGTGTCCCCCTCCTATAAACTGTAGTCCAGAACTCTGAAAATGTATGTATGGCTACACTTTCAATGCTAACATTCCTTCTAATGTCAAGTCAAAGTAGATAAACTTCTGATTCTGTAAAAGAGTGTTAGAATTAAGTGCATTCGTCTGTAAATGTAAATGCCGAGCCAAGTAAAGGTTAATTAAATTAACGATCACTGGGAACATTGCTAGGGCTTCAGATCATTTTTATGCACAGTACACATGCTGGAATACATTCTAGTTAACATAAGATGCATGAAAAAAAAATGCTATACAGACATTTCACACTTGCCTTGAAATTATGACTAGCTTTTGTATCCTTAACCTATAAGTATACATTACTGTGCTTAACTACAAATAATTAGCTCAACAGCCCTGATAAATGATGCAACAGCTTGATTTTACGTTAGTTTATTAGTTTGCCACTGATGCACTCAAGTTCACAAACTTGCTACATTTTAAAATATGTAGCCTTTTGAAATCAGTCAGCTAATACAGAACACACTAAATACTATAAAATTATAAAGACTACTAGAAAACAGACAACACTTTTCATTTTTGCATTGTTTTAAAAGCACAGCACCTTTTTAAAATGTCTGTGCGATCAGATAAAGACCCATGAAAGTGAAAGGTGAAATCCAAGGTTACACATCTCAATAATATAAACACACATTAGTGGACATCAGTATTGTGTATGTTTTTCTGACAAGTAAATCTCTTGATTCATGATATGTCCTATCACAGTACATAAATTAGTAACAACAACTATCACTGCCTTAAACATTCTACGTGATTACATTAAAGAATCTAGAAGAAAAAAAAAAACAGGGTTTAAGTGATGCCATTTATTGGCAAACCAAGAGGATTTAATCCAAAGCCCTCCAGACAAGTAATTTGGGTTCAATACTCTCTGGCAAAGGGAGCTGATATATGAGAGCCTGCACCTAACACACATTTACTTGGCCAATAAATAACACATCAGCCCCACTTTTTTGTCTTCTTATTGTCAAACGCGGTACGCTTAACTGAAAATACACACTCCAGTCTGAAAAACCATAAAAAAGCCACAGCTTAGCTTCCACAAAATATTACACCAAGCAATATCAGTTTTACTCAACTACATATCCAATCAAAACACACTTTAAAACGGCAAATACAAAAGAAAAAACTGCATAGCGATACAAACAGGTCTAGTAATCAGCACAAAAAACAGGTAGTTCTCTCTAAGGTCAGTGACATAACACACTACTCACCTAGGTATAGATAACTATGACCTTTTTTAAGTGCAATTGCAAAGTTTGCAATCTGTTAGCACAAACCTGGTCATTGTCCGTATTCTCATAGACGAATTATATCTTATCTTCTCCGGAGGGCTGCATTGGCTTTCAGGGGGGAAAAAAAAGTTAAACTTTCCAGGGAAAATTCAAGAATTTATTTACGAATTGTAAAAAGACAGCAATTTGAACAAAAGGCAATACACATGCACATTAGAAGCTCATTTGCTGGTACTGCACTAAATTTTGCACTGGTTTGTTATTTTAACATCTTCCAACATTAAATCTAATGTCTACATTTGGCCTTGAATCTCGCTTGTGGGGATATTCACTAGTGTCATAATACAAAGCATTGAATACACAAAGTTAAAGCAGTTTACAACATAAATCGATAGCTTAGCACAGAAAATTGTAAGGAATTTTCTCCTTTTAAAAACTGCTTCAAATCTTATTTTTTAATGTGATAAAAAGCAGAAATATTCCAACACAAAACTCAAATTAATAATATTTAGACAGAACAGTCATGTAATGCTTGTTTCAGTCTAACTAGGTAAAGCAAGCACTCACTAAAACTGAATTTTTTGCAGAGGGGCCACTATTGATTTTACATCACACTTGAAGCGGACAGTTTAGAGGAGACAATTTATGTACAAATAAATATTGCAAACACAGATAGTAATCTGGTTGCACTGTATACCTGATAATACATCGAAGATTTATTTTGTGAACAATATCTATTTAAACCATAGGTGTCTACATTGTATATAAGTTGTATATACTTTTCCAAACTTTAGCATAAGAAATGTATTTGGGAAAAGTGTAAAGTTCTATGTGGACTGTTAAGAGAGTATCATGCTGCAACACATCCCTTTCCCAATAATAAACAAATTGTACTAGATTTCCTTTTGTGCCCACCCAGTTAGAAAGCAGTTTCAAGCCCATTATAAATATACTTTACATGTTCTCTACTTTTAACATTTCTTTATTAGATTCTTGTTTGTCCATTAGATATCAGTAGTGATGAGCGAAACTAGGACATGTCACCAATATTTTACCATTTCTTCAAAATAGTAAGGTGATTTCTATGGGTGCAATATTCTCTAAGTGGGTCCTGAAGGTTAGGGGACGCTCTTGCCTTGATAGCATTGCCAGGGCTTGGAGCACAGTTTACCATTAGGGTTAGTGTTTCTTGCACATAAACAGGTCCAGGATAGTTTAAAGGAGCTTTCCTAACAAGTCAGGAGCAATTTAAAGTAGGGCTGTTACTGATTAAGATTTTCGTGTTCGATTAATCTAAATTTCTTTTAAATCGATTCATTTCGATTATAACGCACATACAGATCCAACTACATTGGCCTATACACATACAGCACAGCAAGAAGTAATAAAATGAACTAGGATCACACTAATCCAGCACGTTATTAATCTCACGTGCCCCACTCAATATGGCCACCGCTTGAGTGGGGCAACTCAGAATAATAACGAGCTGGATTAGTGTGATACTAGTTCATTTTATTACTTCATTGCTGTGCTGTATGTGTATAGGCCAATGCCTTGGAGTTTGGTCCACACTTGTGGGCACACTGACCAGCTGGGAAGATTGTAGAAGAAAGGTTCGATGTCAATTGGCAGGCTACACAGTGATGTTCCCTTTACATGTAAGTATAACCTATTTCAAAATTGATAGGGCAGAACAAGTTTCTTGGGCAAACTCACCGGCCCAAGTGGCTCCGTCGGCTAACGAAGGGAAGGGGGGAGGAGTCCGGTGACATTAGCGATCAAAAAAAATGTAATCGATCAAAAAGATTAACAGTTAATCGAGAAATTAATCGTTAATTTCCGCAGCCCTAATTTAAAGCACATTGCACCCTTACAAACCTACCAAAACTATTTTAATTTTGCCTTCCCTACATGTCTTGCATTTCCCAGTCTTGCTAATCTCTAATCATCAATCATTTTAGCCACAAATAGTTTTCCAAAGTGTGATGGTTAGGACAAAAAAAATATTCAGATGAATTGGTACGTCATTAGATCATGATGGTATCAACTGCAGATACTGGACAAGAGCAATGCAGTTTGAATGGAGAATATTTTGTAATATGCACACACATACACAGACGCATAGATAATACACTACCTCCTCTGAGGTCTTGTCTTGTATACCTATGTCTAGGCAAGAGTCCTGCATTGGACCAGTCGCCGTAAGGTCACCCACTGAGAGTTCAGACAGAGAACACAAGTGTCTAGCACATGACAGAGGATTCAAGGTAAAAAAAACATTGTGTCATCCATCAAAGAATTTAAGAGGGTAAGGTTAAGTGTAGGCTTAAGTTATAGTTTACGAGTTAAATTTAGGGTGCATTTAATAGCGGATAGAATTTTCTTTTTTGTTCCTTTGAGGGTGTTGAAAATCCTGTTCCCATGTTCCAATGCAAGCAGGAAAATCAAAAAATTTGAATCCCAGCAGGATTTAATAAAATTATGAAATAGGGTACATCAATATATCAGATTATAAAAGGCAGAAATCTGTATGAATCTCCCATAGTTCTCTAAGGTCTTGTACAGATGACACTCTTGTCATCGACTATTTGGTAAAGTTGACAGTTTTGGTGCATAGACCATCATTGGAAAGCAATGTCCCAGTAAGTATATTGGGGGAGTTATATTTCTATTTCAGTTGAGCGTGGAGGATGTCCCAAACCTTGAGAGTACAGATGGTGAAAGGGGAGGTTATAGCTACTAGGTTTCTATCGTCTTTTGGAATCCAAAGCACTAGTGACAATTTGTCATTGCTTAAGTGTTCCTAAAAGGCTATTAACTTTTTTTGCAGGATTAGCAAATACGCACTCAGAGATACGGGTATGAGAAACAGTTGAGATATTTCTCAAGCTCTGGTAACCCTAAACCTCCATTCGATTTCAGTCAGTCGGCATATTTTTGAAGAACCTTGCTCGTCAGGCACTCCAGATTAATTTAATAAGAGATTATGCAGAGCAAAGAAATTTAAAGGGGATCCAAAAGGGGAATCATTAGGAAGATATATAATCTGGGCAAGATGTTCACTTTGACATTTATTTTTCCCAACCACAAACATGCCAAGGAGTTCCAAACATTTAGGTCCTTACTAATCTTGTGATGAAGAGGGGGTTAGTTCATTTTAAAA